CAAATATCGATCGATAGGGTCTCTAGTGTGCGGACAAATGGTGCCTGTTGGCCAATCTGCAGCAAAGTGTGCACGTTGAAGCATGCCAGTCTTAGCGAGACGCGAGGACTCCAAAGGGAAACGGATGAACTGACGTTGTCCGCTTGGTTGAACATGGACTTGTCAACTGGATTGGAGCGAGGCCCTGCGATTGTGTGTGATTTGAAATTAGAAGACAAGCGACTACTGAAGAAAGCTGGGGGAGGGCCAAGAATTGGGGGATTGAAAATGGGGGGATATAAGTAAAGTTGGAGCGGGACGATAAGGATGAAGAAGCGCAAGAAGGGGTATAAGAAGACGGGAAGGCCTGAGCAGTAGCATCCATACCCCTATCCACCCTGCTCGATGCAGCAGATAGGGCGCCGTTGATTATCCTCTGCGACGGCCAGAGCATCAAGAAATTGTTGTAGGAAAGTTTCGTTGTATTGCGTGGGCAGAATACTGTCAGGTTGCCCAGGCCTAGACAGGAGAACGATTAGGGTTCTCAACCAAAGCCTTTGGTTCAAAAACCTTACCGCAAGGCAGCGGGTTTTGGCACTGGACTGAGGAGCCCGTTTTATGAAATGAGGAGCCACCCCCATTCCAACCCCCAACCTGGAGGACCAGGAGGCTGAGTTTGTCTGGCCTCTAACCATTGACCAATCTGGTATGAGTGGCTCTGAAGGTGCAAAAGCACCACCCAGCATAGCTCAATGGATCTCTGAGGCACGCAAACCATCGCACCACGGTAAGGTCCAGCCTCATTGCGATGGTTTTTTGTTGTTGTGTATTGTGTTCTCAGAACAATGCAACATACGAACAGTGTGCCGTATGAAAGCGACTTGCGGCCACATATCTTTGTCCTGTACCATTTCGCACTTCATTCTGCCTGATCCGATATAATTTTCGACCCAATTGTTCTGGGTCTGGGGAGCCTTGAGTTCAGCTCCCATAAGACACGGTCACTAACGAATTCATGTTGATTCCTGTCAACATCGGCATATGCAAGCAAAACACGATGAAAAATTGTCATGGATATGCTCATTAAATACCCAGATGGTCGTATCATGTGACCAACGATCTGAGTTTAGTAATCGGCTGATTAATTCCGACTTGAAGAATCGCTTACACTTAGATTTATTATCGGCACGAACCTGACTTCATACCCTGGCAATGTTTTTTAGTGACCATATGGAAAGATTCCCAGCAGTGGTTTAAACAGCCGGTTTGCAAGCACCGAGGCACCAAATATTAAGGCCTCAAATTGTCGAACGGAATTCTCCAAGTGTTGGCATTCTAGCTTCGATCTTCAAATCGAGGTTGGGGTCACGTCTGTTACGTTGGAAGTTCGGTCCATGAAAATCACCCGAAATTTTGGAGATACGTGGAGATGTCTCATATTATAAATAAATTTCCAAAAAAGCACATCATCTGCGGACCATTCAAACGACTTCAAACTGTGAGATGCTGTTGCTAATCCTTTATAACAACCTTGTCCCCCACCTGGCGAAAGTTATTTATATATAGAATGCTCTTCATCGTTATGCAACATTTTGTGCGGTTTGTTCCGGTTCGCTGATTACACTGATCTAACTTGCTTATTCTCTGTTTCGCGGTTTGTTAATTTGTACTTGTTCTAAATCGGCTTTCTGTAGCCTCTTCCGAAACCTCTCATTTGACGAACCTTAACTTTTCAACTTGTTGTACATTGATGGATCTGCGGCAAAAGGTTTGTAACTCACCTTACACTGCCTCGATTTTAGCTATAAAAAAACTTGCCTGGGAATTCAAAAATTGTTGTCGAGTGCAGTTAGCCTTGCTTAGATGTTCCAGAGCGTAGTTGTTTGAAGCTCAACCTTCGCACATTTGAACACACCGGAAACTGTCTTGTTCTTCCCTCATCTTTCTCGCTCATGTAACCAGCTGGACACAGTAGTACGCGTTGCCGAATTCTTTACCACTGTCACAAGCGATTCTCAAGAAGACCGGCTACTCGACATAACAAGCATTTTAGCTGATAACTGTGCAGTCACCAGTTCTAATCGTTGCTTGAAGTGTCCAATCAAAAATAAATGATTTGAGCAATTAGGTGCCGGACCCCAGCAACACCGGTACGTTCTTGTTTCTGATTGTGATTAACTTCCTGGTATGTTCACATGTCGCAGCTGAGCAAGTGCTCCCTGCGTTTCATCCAGTGTTGGCATGCCCGTCAAACTCGCCTTCATGTCGTGCTGCTTCAGGCCGTTCAAAGTAGGTCGGTGCCGACGGGATCCCGCCTGAAGTATTGAAACACGGCGGACCAGCGTTGGGGACTGCGCTGCACAACTTAGTGCAACGTATGTGGGTTGAGGAGGAGGTGCCTCCTGAGCTGAAGGAGACACTCGTACTACCACTGCACAAGAGCAAACGGAGCGAGCAATGTTGCAAGATTTATCGTGGCATCAACTTGCTGAGTTGTGTGGGCAAAGTGATTGCCAGAATCCTGCTCAATCGCCTAGTCAGTCTGGTTGTGGAATCGAACCTGGCAGAAGAGCAATGTGGATTCCGTTCGGGACGTAGCACTATGCTTATGACGTTTGCGGCTCGTCAGTTGCAGGAGAAGTGCAGAGAACGACACCAGCTTTTGTACTCGCTTTCTGTTGATTTCACCTAAACATTTGATACAGTGAACCGCGAGGCACTGCGGCTGGTGTTGAGTAAGTTTGGTTGCCCGCGTAAGTTTGTAAGAATACTTCAATGTCTGCACAATGGTATGCGGGCGAGGGTGCAGCTGAGTGGATAGACCTCGGATGACTTTAGAGTTGTCACTGGTGTGAAGCAAGGCTGTGCATTAGCTCCTGCCCTGTTTAATATATATCTTTATACAATGATGTCTTGCGCTTTTGATGCCGCATATGTTTACGGTATTCGTGCGGAGCACCGTATTGATGGTGGGTTGCTGAACATCCGTCGTTTCGGTGCGTGAACTAGTCTGTGAGACAACTGTCCATATGTTGCTGTTTGATGACAACTGTGCGTTGTTTGCACACAGTGCGGATGAGTTACAGCACATGACTTGTGTTCTGGCTTCGACAGCTGCCATATTCGGGCTCACCATCAGCACAAGCAAACAAGCTTGCACCGGAGCTGCGATCTGCAATGATGCCGCAAATCAGCATTAGTGACGAAGTATTGGAAACCACCTCCCGCTTCTGCTACCTTGGGAGTGTGGTTTCGACTGACCAGCAACTACACAGTGAGCTGCGTATCCGCGTCTCAAAGGCGGCGGTGACATTCAGGAAGTTTGAGTACCGAGTGTGGAACCACCACCAGCTTACCGTTAGCACGAAGCTGATGGTGTACAAACCCATGATGCTGTCCGTTCTTCTATACGGCAGCGAAACGTGAACGATGTACCGGCGAGCGGTTCCATCAACAGTGTTTGCGACGGATTCTGCACATCGGTTGGTGCGACAGAGTTGCAGACACCGAAGTGTTGCGCCGTAGTGGAATGTGTGCAGTGGACTGCATACTTTTGCTGATACGCTTGAGATGGGTTGGTCATGTGCGGCGTATAGATTCGAGGCGGATGCCGAAACATCTATTATGTGTTCTGCTGGGTATTGGGAAGCAGCATGTAGGGAAAGCGAACTTACGTTACCAGAACATGATCAAATTGAGTATTTCACGTTCTAATCTTGTTTGCAGGTCATGGGAATCGAAGGTGGTTAATCGGCGCGCATAGTGCGATCTGATCACGAAGGCCGTTGTCGTGGTGCAAGAGAAAGCCCTCGAGCATGCAGAGAAGAAGCAGCAAGCGCGGAACCGACAGTCGTCGATGGTATAGTGCTGTAGCACATGCGGTCGCGAATGCCTGAGTCAGGCAGGCCTAGTGAGCCTTGAGCGAGGCCACTCGTGACCAGCATCGAAACGACGATTTGTCCTGCTGAGAACGTAAGTAGAACCGGCGCAGTGTTTGTAGGTACGCTACATTCGATTTGCTAACCTCGTGCTGCGTTTCTTTTTTCATGTTGTGGATTTGTTATCTTGTCTCAACACTTATCTTATTTTACCTCATAACCTTTACCTGAGCCTGCACATGCTGCTTAAGCTAATTGTGGTTAATTTCGCTAACATATTCGCGTTTGTGGCATTTTTAAAAGCTTTTTCTGATATATTGCACTTATGGCGGATTTGTTGATAACCAATTTATTTCATATGCTCATTTAGTGACGAGTTGTGTTACCGTATCTGTATGCATTATTCGATTTCTTTTATTTGATGTCGTCGTTTCATGTGATTGGCTGTTGCTTGATATCCCCGGGGGGTGCGCTTGATGTGCATGTTGACAACCTGTCTACTTTTCTTTTACATACTACGTCCATACTGGCTTCAGTAGTCAGTTGGTCGTTACTGGAGGGAACGGGGTGCACGGTCCTTGTGAGTAGTTCCATGCACTCAATGTGGAGCTGACTACGGTCCAGCCACCGCCCTGTGTACGCTTGATTCCCCAAATACAGGGTACTTGTGTTTGCTTGTGAAGGAATGTGGGCCGGCTCCGTTGATGAAACGTGGCTCCCATCCTCATGCCTCCCGGTCTTATTCCTTCGTGTTTACACTGGATATGGGGTGTGTGGATGGAACTATTGATGGTGCTTCGTAAGCCACCCATGGTCCCTCTGTAGGTGCAGGCGTCCTGTGGCTGGCCACAGTGACAGGCTAATCCCAAAGCGCATGCCACCTACCATACACACATATATTCTTGAGACCACCATCGTACGTTTATAGTTTTGGTACGTTCTGTTTTCTTGTTTATGGAGAGGAGATACCCCAGCATCATTAGGTGTGTACATTGAACATCCTAGTACGTACTATCACTAAGTTTGCATTTACTTTTCAATCCATAATTATTGCTTGTTTGTGTGACTTGCGGTATAGTATCTGTTGACTTTCCCGTTTATATGTCAAATAAAATGTTCATTTTTCTATCTCTGTAACCCACAATGGCCACGTTACTTTGGGCGCATACTGAGCATTGTATTCTGTCACCTCTGTTGCACTTTACCCAGCTTGCAGCGTTGAAGGTGGTTCCGCTTTCGCTCATTGAAGAAAGATGGAAGGATTTATCACTACCGATTGAGCGATTTCAAGAGCTGTGTCGCATTGGAAACTTCGTTGGATCATGTGAATGGAAGCACTTTTTGGCCTTGGCTGCATCTGATCTATGCGGGGCAAGTTTGTGTTCTCTTTCTGAAGCCAGTGCAACAGCTTCTTTTTTATTGGCCTATTAAGCCTGACTCCCCATCCCCTTCTTCAACTACAAGCACCCCTTGCCACCAGTCTATTAATGTACCTTACATCCTTTGTCAATGTATCCCCATGTCAGACACCAATTTTTGCACCACGATTTCGATAAACCTCTCTTGCGTTGGAATTTTGTCGCCCTCCTAGATGGAGACGATTCAAACATGATCATTAAGCTTGATTCGAACACTGGGGTGCGACGTACCATTTTAAAATACATTCAAGTCATCACTTTTACAAAAAAAATACCTGATACCGAGTTACAACAGCAAATGACGGTCGAAAACGAGCATACAGGAAGTGGTGGCATCCAACTGAAAGCACAGTAATCCCAAGTACGAGATTTAACGCAATGGTGTCACTAGCGCTTCAGTTTCTCTATGTCAGATAACGCTTTTAACGATTGATGCTGATCTTATTCATAAGGGCAATGTGCATCAACGCGATTCGTTTTACACTGGACTTCTTCATTCCACTCCGCCGAGTCATGGTCGGTTTTGCACACTTTTGTTCATTAAAATGAGTATGACTCACTTATATACATGATAGACAAATCTTCGATATCCGTTTGCTAATCATCTTACCTGTGAAACATTGCCAGGTGATCCAGTGAATACCAAATTAATCTGTTTGTGCGGATATTATGATGGTCACGTTTCAACACAATCTACTTGACATAGGTCCTCCACCTTCTTCTCCCTATTGTCTGTTGTGCTAGCCACCATATTTTCGGCTTTCTTTTATCCTCGAAAATGTTAAGACAATCCGTTTGCAATGAACTTTCTCTGATCATAACCGATAATAATGTGCCCTAGGCATATGGTCTTTGTCTGTCCGGTGTTTTTTAATATTTGTGTACCAACTGCATTTTACCCAAATTCCTCTCTTCATGAGCTGTTTTTATTGCTCCTTGGTTATTATCAACTCGTATTGACTGGAACAACCGTCGGTAGGGATATCAATAGCTTACATCAGCCTTGCCCATGGCTGCATCCTCATGACATGTATCATATTTACTATATCCCTTATTGGTTGGTACTGTTGCGATTTTACCAGTTTGAATTGTGTCTGGTGCCATTAATTAGTGGCACCTCGAAAGTATAAATGGTCGCGATGTTGCTTTCTATTTAAGTATACTGTTATCGGGATGCGCTGGTTGACATGACGAAGGGCCGACCTCAATGGCGTCTGTATTGGGATTTTCTTCATCTCGCCCTGGAGGCAAAGCAAAACATAACGCTATTTTCGCTTTGTTTTTATTTTCCTTTATCATTCTTTTTACCACTATCCAACAGAATGATTTTGACAAACGGAAGCTGAGGTGTTTCTTGCTCCTAGCTAGCGTGCAGAATAATGATGGCAATTACCTTCATCACCATCAGACTCAGTACTGCGCGGTCACAACACGTCTGCAGTGGTGTTGACGGCCGTTTCATTTTACTCTGACCCATCTCATTGGATTCGAACTCACGGCCACGCGAGCCGGCGATCTATACTCCCGACCCACGGGTTACTTGCTGTGATACGGCTTATCTTCTATGCCATGCATCACTGTGCTGAGTTCTTCCATGGCATTACAGACCTTTGACCGGTTACTACTTTCAAGGAAGTAGTAGTATGGATATTTAAACAATTTAAGTGACCGCGTCTTGCTGCCCGTTACGATTCACTTGTTAATGGGTTCCCCGTTCTCATTTTTGTGCGCACCTGAATTCGTTGGCAGTGGGGTAAAGATCACGGTATGGTACGGGAGAGCCCATGGTACGCTGAAGCTGGTGGTGGCCACGTCCTGACAGGTGGTCTACCCACTGCTGCTACTGTTGTGCCATTGACTCATGTCCTGGACGCCACCTCGTGGCGACAGCTGGGTGGGAGTTGGGGTACGCCCTTCTGCCTGCTAAGATGCAGGACACCAAGCCGCATGAGTCAATGAACTGACCATGTGTTAGACCCGCTGCCTTTCGGGTGTTCATTTAATCGAAGGCTTTGGCTGAGGACCCGAGTCGTTCTCCTGTCAGGTGTGGGCGCCCTGCCAGTATCCTAGTCCATCCTCTTCGCAAGTTAGGAAGTGCTCGACGGCTCTCTTCCCTTAAAATCTAGCCATGGAAGACAAAATTTCTACGGATTATAAACTCACCGCTCGATTGGTGTAGAGCACGAGCGCCACGGATTGTCTCCGACCGTGGGAGAGAATCTCTAGGTGTTCAGTGGTTTGCTACTGCCCGCCTCAAGCCAGGCAGGTCCTGGTCAAATTGGTGCAAACCCGCCAAAACCCACCTGCGTTTGGCCGGGTCGTAGGTGCGTCTCCTAATACGGTCGCAAAACATATACAAGTCGTTCCAGTACCTCTAAGGCTGTGTGCGGTGGCCGTCAAGCAGATCCCCATCTGTCTCTGCAATCACATTCCCGAGCTGGATCTGCTCCCCACTGCCTTGTGGGTCAGACTATTGAGCCAAAGGCTCTGGGCGTAGTCCTTCAAACAAACCTCCGAAGCACATCCACCACTTCGCGTGCGATTTCCCACCAATGCAATCGTATGCCTGTGCTAGAACTTGCGCACACTACTGTATTGGAACTGGAATGAGCGCCCCGAGCGACGAACTACACTCATCGCGATGGAACTCACATCGATATTGCGACTCTCAGTGAAACCCGGCTCGCTGAGCAAGTTGCATGAAGCAGTTGCTAGCTACGCATTCTACTGGGTTGGCAACGCCGCCTCAGCACCACGTGAACATGGGGTCGTATTTGTAATAATTTCTCGCCTCCATGTCCAGCCCGTGGGCAAACCAACGGGCATCAGCGCGCGACTGATGACTGTTCGCCTACGACTCAGAAAAGGTAAGTTTGTCACTTTTATAAACACGTACGGTCCGACCATATGTTATCCTGATGACACGCGTGATCAGTTCTACACTCAGCTATCCTCCGTGATGCGGTCTGTGCCGAGGGGCGACCGACTATTTCTGCTGGGTGATTTCAACGCGCGCGTTGGGCGTGATGCATCGGGGTGGACAGATATTATCGATCCGCATGGCATTCGTTCAGCGAATGCGAACGGTGACAGGCTGCTCTCACTGTGTGCCACTCACGGCCTGACGATCATGAACACTCGGTTTGCACTGAGTGCGAGTGATATAGCAACCTGGACGCACCCACGGAGTGGTCACGCTCACTTGCTGGACTATGTCATCGTACGTCAGCGTGAAATGCGTTAAGTGCGCATGACACGTGTACTACGTGGAGCTGTGTGTAGCATTGATCACAAATTGGTGCGGACCAAACTGTGCATATATTTTCGGAAATCAATGTATTGCACTCCCGCCGTGATTCGGCGTAAATTTAAAATTCTCTCCCTCGGTACTGGGGCGAAACATACTGAGTTGGAGGAGGCAATGGCTGCATGCCTGTATTATGTGGACTGCATAGCCACAGTGGGCGACCTGTGGTACCACATTCGCGACCAGCTGAGAGCTGCTGCCGATAAGACCATCGGGCGCGCAAGCTATAACCGGCCTGATTGGTTTGATGAGAACAATGCGACGATTGGCGCCTTGGTGTGTGATAAGAATGCAGCATATGTGGCAGACCCCAGTGAATTGGGGAAGAATAGTTCGTTTCGCAAACTTCGACGGCGACTGACCCGAGAGCTCCGTCACATTAAAAATGCATGGTGGACAGAGAAGGCACAGCAGATGGAATGTTACGCTGAACGTCGCCAACACAAGGAATTCTCTGAATCATTGTAGGCGGTGTATGGACCGAGATTGGAGTCGCTAAGGACGCTGATCGATGGTAGTTCAGGCGCTACCTGCACACAGACTGCAGACATAATGCAGATCTGGCGAAAACACTTTGACTGTCTGTTGTACAACCGTTCAGAGATCGACTGGCCTACTCTGAACGGCCTCAAGCAGCACGATGTGAAGACGAGTCTGGCGAACACGCTGACACTGGATGAGACGCAGAGAGCACTTGCTCAGCTGCCAAACGACAATTGTGCTGGGGCCGACGAGATCCCGCCTAAAGTATTGAAATACGGCGGACCAGCGTTAGCGACTGCGCTGCATCACTTGGTGCAACGCATGTGGATTGTGGAGGGGGTGCCTCCTGAGCTGAAGGAGGCACTTGCTCTACCACTGCACAAGCGCAAGCAATGTTGCACGATTTATCCTGGCACCAACTTGCTGAGTTGTGTGGACAAGGTGATTGCCCGAATCCTGCTCAACCGCCTCGTCGGTCAGGTTATAGGACCTAACGTAGCAGAAGAGCAGTATGGATTCCGTTCGGGTTGCAGCAATATAGTCATGGTGTTCGCAGCTCGTCAGTTACAGGAGAAGTGCAGAGAACGAACCAGCATCTGTACTCGCTTTCTGTTGCTTTCACCAAAGCATTTAATACGGTGAACCGCGAGGCATTGTGGCTGCTGTTGGGTAAGTTTGGTTGCTCGCTTAAGTTTGTAAGTTTAATTGAATGTCTGCACAGTGGTATGGGGGCGAGGGTGCAGCTGAGTGGAGAGACCTCGGATGACTTTGCAGTTGTCACTGGTGTGAGGCAACGCTGTGTATTAGCTCCTGCCCTGTTTAATAAATATCTTCATGCAATGATGTCTTGCGCTTTTGATGCCGCATGTGCTTACGGTGTTCGCGTGGAGCACCGTATTGGTGGTCGGTGCGTGAACTAGTCTGTGAGACAACTATCCGTATGTTGTTTGATGACGACTTTGCGTTGTTTGCACACAGTGCGGATGAGTTACAGCACATGATTTGTGTTCTGGCTTCGACAGCGACCATATTCTGGCTCACCATCAACACAAGCAAAACTGTCTGTCTTTTTCAGTCTTCACCGGAGCTGCAGTCAGCAACGATGCCGCAAATCAACATTAATGAGGAAGTATTGCAAACCACCTCCCGGTTCTGCTACCTTGGCAGTGTAGTTTCGACTGACCAGCAAGTACACAGTGAGCCGCGTATCCGCGTCTCAAAGGCGGCGGTGACTATCAGAAAGTTTGAGTACCGAGTGTGGAACCACCACCAGCTTACCATTGGCACGAAGCTGATGGTGTACAAATCCATGGTGCTGTCCGTTCTTCTATACGGCAACGAAACGTGAACGATGTACCGACGGGATGTGCGATATCTCGAGCGGTTCCATCAGCAGTGTTTGCGACGGATTATGCGCAGCGGTTGGTGCGACAGGGTTGCAGACACCGAAGTGTTGTGCCGTAGCGGAATGTGTGCAGTGGACTGCATACTTTTGCTGATACACTTGAGGTGGCTCGGTCATGTGTGGCGTATGGATTCGAGGCGGATACCGAAGCATCTATTATGTGATCAGCTGAGTATTGGGAAGCGGCATGCAGGGAAAGTGAATTTACGTTACCACGACATGATCAAAATAAGCCTTTCACGTTCTAATCTTGTTTGCAGGTCATGGGAATCGAAGGCGGTTAATCGACGTGCATGGCGCGATCTGATCACGAAGCCCGTTGTCGAGGTGCAAGATAATGCCCTCATGCATGCAGAGAAGAATAGACAAGTGCGAAAGCGGCAAGCAACGATGGGTTTTACTCCATCGACATCGGGCATATGGTGCTGTAGCACATGCGGTCGCGAGTGCCTCAGTCAGGCAGGTTTAGTGAGCCTTGAACGAGGCCACTCCGGACCACTACCGAAGCGACAACGGGTTCTTCAGAGAACATGAGCAGAACCAGCACAGCGTTTGTAGGCACGCTGCATTCGATTTATCAACCGCGTGCTTGCATGCTAAGTCTCTTTAGTTCAGGTGGTGGGTGTGCAAATTTTCCTAAGACTTTTCTTTCGCAGTTTATGGTCTACTTGTACGCTCTTCTACGAAATTGCACACGTCGCTGAAGTTAATTGTATTTACTTTCGATAACATTTTCGCGTGTGTGGCATTTCCTTAAAATATATTTTCTGGCCGCTTGAACTTCGTGCATTCGTTCATAAACAATTTATTTTATACGCCCATTTAGTGAACAGTTATGCCGCCGTATCTGTCTGCATAATAGGATCTATTTACTTTCATCTTGTCGTTCCAAATGATTGGTTGTTGCATGATATCCCCGGTCTGACTGCATTTGATATGCATGTTGACAAGATGCCTACCTGTCTATTACCCACCACCTTGTCCATACTGTCTCTAGGAGATAGTTGGTCGTTGCTGAAGGGGACGGGGTGTACGGTCCTTGTGACCGTGCTAGGCTCGAAGAGTGGTTCCACGCACTCAATGTGGAGCAGACTACATTCCAGCCACCGCACTGTGTATGGTTTATTCCCCTAAATACAGCGTGCTTGTGTTTGCTTGTGAAGGTATGTGGGCCGGCTCCGTTGGTGAAACGTGGCTCCCATCCGCATGCCACCCGGTCTTATTCCTTCGTGTTTACACTCTATATGGGGTATGTGATGGAACTGTTGATGGTGCTTCGCAAGCGACCCATGGTCCATCTGTAGGCGCAGGTATCCTGTAGCTAGCCACAGTGACAGAAAAATCTGAAACCGGATGCCGCCAACCATGGTACGGTTACTGTCCCATACCTTAGCATTATCTTAACTGATTACAGGTCGCACATCGCCACCTTCCCTTCAGAGGAAGTTAACGATCATGTCACTACATAATTGTCGACCCGAAGAGTTCTCGATTTTACCCACCCCTACACGACTGATTTCGTCCTAATTTGAATTCTCTCGGTAGCAAGTGTCGGAGCTGTGAGTGCAACTCGGGACTTAACACTTAGCAGCTGACGTCTTGATCCGCGAGAAACACTCGGCACGGTAGCATGGCATTCCCTGTTGTGTTTTGGAGTATCCACTGTGTGTTTGGGTTGTAACACACGCTCTTTTTCCGCTTCGGTTCATTTAGTTTTGAATTCAATAATATTCTCCCCCCCCCCAGACTTTGGCAGAAACGCTCAAATTGATATGTGAACTACTGACGGTGGACCCGGAAGGTGGAGCAGCACGAATTCCGTTTGACCTCTGGCTGGAGTTTTATCGCTATTTAGGACGGCTGGATGATATTCCTGAAAATCACATCAATCACGTTGTCGCCTATCTGACTTTCGATATGTAAGTTTGTTGATTTCATACTCTACTTTTTGAACTCCATTTCCTAAGCCCCACTGACCAGTCATTTATATACCTAAATAATTTGCCATAATGTGAACTTTGATTGCAATTAGCTCGTGCGTATGTCACCTACTTTCGTCCTATCACGATTAACCGGCCAAATTTCTTTCCATTGTGATTGTTTTAGTGGTGTAGTGATACTGATACTGAGAAAATACATCGAGTAGAGGTGCCTCTGTGTAGCTGCATTTAATATTTTTCAAGCACATCTACCAATTAATTTGGGCGAGTATTCCTGATATCTCAAGTCGGCAAAGAGTGTGTGCAGGAGTTTCTTAAACTCCGACACCGACTTTGCTATTCAAGTATGGCGGTGTGGCGGTCATTAACCAGCTAACCGCGCTGTTCGCAAAAATTTGGCATGAAGAGAAAGTGCCTTCCTCTTGGGGCGAATCAGTTATTGTCCCAATTTTCAAGAAAGGCGTTCGCACTTCATGTGCAAATCATCGCGGGATTAGTCTTATTTCGGTTGCCTCTAAGCTGTTGGCATCCATTCTACTTCGTAGACTATCCCCAGTACGTGAATCATACTACCGTGAAGAACAGGCTGGTTTCCATCCTGACCGCGGATGCGTGGATCAAATCTTCACGCTCCGCCAACTCCTTGAACAACGCCACATTTATCACAGGCCCACTATCGTTGCATTCCTAGACCTACGTGCTGTTTTTGACTCCGTTGATCGACCTGCTTTATGGCGTTGCTTACTAAAGAAAGGGGGTGCCAGAGAAATATACCGCCATCTTACGAGCACTTTACCTTCATACATGCGGCAGAGTGAGAGTCTATGGCAAGCTCTCCTCGCAACTCTCTGTCAATAGCGGTATGCGACAGGGCTGTCGTATGTCCCCATTCCTCTTCAACTTCGCAATCGGAGACGTTCTGTCGAATGCCCTAGAAGGTTTCCAACATTTTGGCCTAAAGCTTCTACCGGGTGAACGCGCGACCGACTTAGATTATGCTGATGATATCGCCTTACTTGATGACGATCCTCAGGGTATGCAACTCCTTCTGGATCGTTTGGCCGTTGAAACATGTAAGTATGGCATGAGCTTCGCCCCATCGAAGTGTAAAGTACTGCTCAAGGATTGGCTTTCACCTGCTCCCGTGTTCACTCTCCAAAGTGCACAACTTGAACAGGTAGATGGTTTCGTGTATCTTGGGAGCTGTGTTTCTGCTGACGGCACTATCAACAAAGAAGTTTCTCTTCGTATCGCTAAAGCTCGATCGGCATTTGTCAATTTGAGGCACTTGTGGCGTCGTCGTGACGTCTCATTCTCACTAAAGGGCCGCATTTACAGCGCATCAGTTCGCTCAGTATTGTTGTATGGGAGCGTGTCCTGGCCGATTCGCGTGGAAGACATGCGTCGTCTTTCTGCATTCGATAATTGTTGCTTAAGGAGGATCGCTCGTGTTCGGTGGCAACATCGAGTTAATAGTAATGCCGTTCGACGTCGCATCTTGGGGAATGCAGGTAAGCCCTGCAACAAACTGGTTTTGTTGCGCCAGTTAAAATGGCTCGGTCATGTCCTACGCATGGCACCTGAGCGTCTACCGCGTCGCGCTCTATTCGCTCGTCAAGGACCTGGCTCGGAGCGACCGCGTGGTGGTCAGCCTTCCACTTGTCAGCAGCACATGAAATCGCTGACGTCGCGTCTAGCCGCTGTTGGATCCGTACGTCTTCCAGGATTGGGACCCAAAGATGAGGAGTGCCAATGGCTTAGGACTCTTAAAGACATGGCCCGCAACCGAAATCAGTGGAAGAATCGTGTACAGTGTTGTATTGATTCACATGTTTAATACTACCAGCATTGAAAATGACAAAAAAGAACAAAATCAGCGTGTGACAAACAAACTAAAAATGTTTTGTTCTATATTTTTGTCAAAATGTTCCACTTTTTGCGGCATATTAGCTGAAGTGTGTTGCACACCTTCAACTAGCATGCCACGATGGTTATGACGCAATGACTGTCTCTTATCCACTGATTTCCATGGCTTTGTTGCCTCTATGTCTATTTACTAGACTGTTGAGATTACATGCATCACCACCCTCCGCTTGAAGCAGAGTTGGTGAGAGACCCGCTTCAAATGCACTACGACAAGCTTGTACCGGTGTCCTCGTGTGCTGCTTGGTGTGCGTAGATGCAGCAAAGGCCTCAACATTGGGTATTTGCCCAGATGTAATATCCGGTGCCTCCTGATAAGGTCAACCCGCATTCGACGATAAGACAGGGTGTACAGCCCTAGTCTCTTGCATCTGTCTCCATATGGCACACCTTGTAAACCGGGAATGAGCCTTGTGGCAATATGCTGTACCCGCTCAATCCTTTGCAACTCACCCTAGTGAGCGGACAGTAGGCGGGTGAGATGTACTCTAGCATTGGTCTGATGATAGAAGAGAACAGGCGAGTGGCAACCTCTTCGGATCAAGTACCGAATTTGCTTTTGAGCGCCCAGAGCATGCGCAGTCCGTTTTGGTAAAGCTTGTTCGTGTTTTCAACTGATTTCAAGTCGCAGCGTGAGAGTACCCCGAGATCCTTCACGAATGGCGATGGGTGTAATTGGTGGCCGGCCAAAGTGTAGACTCGGTCATTACCACCCTAGCTTAGGCTCATGAATACCGACTTGAACGGCTTAATCGGAAGGCTGATCTTTGCTGGCCACATGGAGAGGCGGCCAAGGTCACGCTGAAACAGGTCGCAGTCGCCGGGCGCCCCAATTACTCTCCATACCTGAAGGTCATCTGCAAACAACACGTTAGATGAACTGAGAAGCTGAGGCAACTGGTTGCTGTGGATCAGGAATAAAATGAGCCCAAGGACTATGCCCTACGGAACGCCACTGATCGAGGGGTACCACACGGTCAAGTAGTTATCCACCTGCACCCTCCACGTCCTACGAATAAGGAAGTTATTGATCCACTGGTGCAGTGAGCCACCAACACCGCACGTCTTCAGATTCCGAAGGAGGATCTCATGGTTCACCTTATCAAACGCTTTAATGAACTCGATGTAAATAACCTCAACTGACTTCTCTTGGTATAGCGCCTGCAACCATTCATGCCTCGAGAGCAGCAGGTTTGTGATGCATGATCGAACTTTCATGAAACCTTGCTGCGCAGGTGTCAAGATGCTTTTCGACTCATGATGCTGCAGAAGACCCGGCTTAACGATCTTCTCGAGTGTCTTAGCCAAAACAGAAGTCAGGCATATCGGTCCGTAGTTGTTCACCTTGCTCGGCTCGCCGCCTTTCGGAATCGGTTTCACCACTGAGCATTTCCAGCCGCTCCGTAATGAACCGGAGGATAGGGACCTGTTGAATAGCTCAGTCATCAAAGGCGGGATGATGGCCGATAGCGATTTGAGGATCAGCGGATGGAGCCCATCAGGCCCGACAGGCTTGGTACCATCGAGACTGGCGAGCGATTTCCGCACATCTACAACGCTGCAATCCAGGCTGTCCAGCTCGGTAGGGGCGATAGGCATCGAACTGGGCATGGACGCCTGATTAGCTGCGAAAACGAAAAAGAAGTGCGTCGCCAATGCGGAAGCACGCTCAGTGCCAGAAACTATAGGCTGTCCACCCAAACCCATCAACACAGGCACATCACCTGTCTGCTTCAAGCGTCGCTTCACTTGTGCAAAGATCCTCATGGGAGCTGTTTTCGCTGCGGTTGCAAACTGCTCTTCGAAGTTTCCGTGTTTGCTTGTTTTCGCGCTATTTCAAGCATTTCATTGCCTCTTGTACGTCTTGTAATCTTCGGCAGAGCCAGAGTGCACTAATTTATTCCATAGCTGACGTCGCCGTCGAGACAGTTTGACATACTCATTGTCTAACCAGTGTGGCTTGACTGGTCCAGCTTTCCGATATTTGAGGAGCACAAATAGGGCGTACAGTGATTTTACTCCCTCTTTCCTGATAGACCAACACGCTCCAACTGTGATTTTATCAATCCCTTTGTATTTGCAACATCACAGTTTGGCTGGGAAACTTTTCAACCTTGTCTGCACAGCTAGGAGTGCTGGTGAGAGGTAATCACAACGCCCATAGGCCAAGCCCAAAATACGAGAATAGTGTGCTTTGACTAAATGAAGCTGTTTCTTCGGCACACTAACACTACTCAACCAGTGCTGAATACTGTGAGTAGAGAGCGAGAAGATAAAAATCTGTGTTGTTCCATCGTAGGTGGATCGGGCACATGCGCGGAATCACGTCGCTGATTCCTGCGCGGTGACAGCTTATTGCAGCTGCACTACATCTTATCCGGGTAAGATACGTTCCCTATACCTGTAGTCCTCAAAGTATGCATCAAGGAATCTCTTAAATTCCGACACCGATTTCGCCTCAATTAACATTTCCGGCAATTTGTTCCAATATTCCACCATTCGACTCTCGAAGTATAGAGGGTAAGATAGGCGCCTTAAATCTGGTACCACTAGTTTGTACCGGTGTCCGCGTGTGTTGCTTGGTGCGCGAACGTCAACCGCGGCCTCAACGTAGGAAAGTGGCCCAGATGCAGTATCCGGTGGGTCCTAAATTGCCCCTGCTTTTAGGGAATTAAACATAGCGTTTGGCATTTTGTGAAAACGAGGTCCTTGCATTTATCTCCATGATCAAATCCATATGCCTGTTCATTTAATTTTCCTTATGTATCCACAGCAACTTACTAAATGATGAAACCATGAGTAGCTCAGATGTAGCGCAGATGATGCTTATCTTCTGTAGTTGGTTTGTTTATGGCAATGGTCCTTTTGCACATTGAAATTGATGTCCTATAGGTTCTAGGAGATGAACTCCTATCTGCCCATACTTGAGGAAGCTTCCATTGACCAAGGATCGGCCTCAGCTACCGTGAACAACACGGATACTACTAGCTGTCTAGTTGATATCACCGATTGCACCTTGGCTTGCCGTTGATATCACTAATGCAATATTACCATGC